TCATAAACATTAAAAAACTTCCTTTTTGTTGCTCAATAAGTAATGCGTTATTTTCATTCAAAAAAAACTCATGTCAGTTTTAAACCAACTCCTCTCAAAATATACATAGGTAATATGCTTTTTAATGAACGGCATATGTTAAAAAAAGAAATATTTCGACAAAAGAAACTCATACTTCGGAATATACCTCAAAAAGTCTCTTCATCCCTTCTCTGCGGATCATTCGCGATAAAATAAATGAAATAAGCTATCCTGTAGAATTGCTCGTGCACTATAAAATAGTACGTAACTCGACTGTAACCATCTTGACTGAAGCAGAAAAAACCTTAAGAAAAGTTCACAAAAAAACTTCTTGGTGAAAAATCTGTATAGCGAAGCATATGTGTCAATTTTTCGAGAAGTGTTTTGGCCATAAGGTTTTACTGTCGCAGCCGTAGCCGCTAATTGTTTCACACCTGAGATAGGTATGCTTGACTTAACCAACCCACATCATTTTCATTGAAATCCCCTGGACACACCTAGGGACCTACCCTTGTCAGACTAGAAAACTTCCTGCAACAATTAAAAAGATAGATAATGACGTGCTAGACGATATCCTTGATACACAAATGACAGTTATTGATAATTCTAAACAAAAGGTCACAGAAAAACCAGCCACCGCTAAACATCGAGAGCACAGGACACGTGATAACATTAAATGACTTTCCTATTCTTCCCACTGAACAACATAGATTTTAATAAAAGAATCTTTGATGATAATGGTCAAGCCCGGTCTTGAACGAAACAGATCGATCCGTGCGTTTATACGTCTAACCAGATGGTCTGGAAAACAGAAAATATTAGATGATAAGAGACTAATTCCACCACACACTAGTCAGTAGTTTTGTTTTCTCACCTTTTTATAACGCTGGCTACGTAGCTTTTAGAACATTTGCATTTTTTAAAAAGGAAAATGTATATAGTCCAGTTCTTGTCTTGTTCTATCAGGTAAAATGAAAATGTTTGTCTGTATCTACCCATAGCTCTGTTACTTTCATTCTTGTATACAGCTTTCCAACATTGAAAATGACCGTAAAGGTCATTTGATTCTTAACAAATAAAGTTAAAAGAGAATGAAATTCTACACAGCTGCGTTGGATAATGCTTCTCTTTTTTGCTTTTAGTGATACCTTAGCGAGAAAGACATCAGCAAATGAAACGGATGATAACGATGACGACGATGATGATAAGGAGCAAGTACTAAACTGTATCTTGCTCTTCCATTTTATGATCATTATTTGTCCTTCTAGTGGTCAATTTGGTGATGCCGGAAAAGAAAAAAAAGGTGAAAAAGATACAGCAGGCTACGATGAAGATGACGAAATAAGAAAAAACTAAGTACACTTAGATAAAAAATATAGAAAATTGCTTCTTTTTTTAGAATTATCGATTGTAAAAAGTGATGATGGTAGTTCAGACGATGAACAACACCCAAAAGGCGAAAAAGATAAAGGTTAAGTTAAACATACTATTCTCTCATTTATGTGCAGACGTTTGTCTTCCTTTCAGATCAAACAACAACAACAACAGTCACAATAGTAAAAGCGGATTCTGGAAAACATACAAGAAAACGTACGATAAAACGCAAACACTTACCATCAAAAGCACTTTCAGAACAGGATCAGAGAACACGGTTTAATCTGAATTCTCTTTGGTTTATCATTGTTCTTTTTCGTTCAGAGCTGTCGATAAACTCGTCGATGCATTGTCAACTAGAGAACTAGTCATGGGAGAACAAAAACATTTACCGGCAGCAAAATACTCATTTTTTTTTTGAAGACTTTATTGTTATTGCTTTTTTTTTGATAATACATTTTTCTAAAAGTCAGTAGGTTAGAACTGTTCGTTTGTTCTTATTCTGCTTTTTTCCTTCGTTTCTTTATGTTATTATGGTTGTGTATACAACTGGAAATTAAGAAAGAGAAGCAACATGCTGCTTCAAATGAACCTAAATCGTTTACTCTTAAGAAAGAACGAATTTTTGACAATAGAGAGACATAAACACATTTACAAAAGAAATCTGCCAGTGATTAATTTTGTACTTGGAGTAGTGGCCTGATTTCACTACTCTGAAGCAAGTTACTGTTTACACTGAAAATTTCTGCGCTTATGCGATGTTTCTTGTTAGCTTGCCCTACACAATTTATCATTATTGCTATTCGGCCTTATTATCAATGATTGTTGTTGCTTCGATCTGCACGTATACGGAAGAAATCTTAATTGCATGTCTCTACGATACCGCTACATCTGGTATAGTTTTTAAAGTGCGACACTCCTATGTTGCAATCACCGCACGCATACGGGGAAAACGTTTTCGTGGTAGATTAGTATTTATTGCATAAAATATCGAACTTCTAATGACGTGTGAGTTTAAAAAAAAGGTCTGATATATGTACATAAACCAGAAGAAATGAAGTAACACTTGAGTTGAATTGACCGATAACAATTCTGTGGGGCAAGTCGATGATCTATGTTGACATAGATCAAGAGGAATTTTTCAAAGTGATATAAAATCATTAGAAAAATTCCTCAGTGGTTTATGACGACATAAACCACAAAACAAAGTGAAAAATGTGTTGAGAATTTTTCCCTTTAAAGTCGTTGAGAAAATCGATGTGAACCATCCCAAAGACCTGAAGGATGGCCATTGGCCATCTAAATAACAAATGTCACATTCAGTCCAACAACATCTTTGACGTCAATCGATGAAGATGATGATAAAAATGTTTTATTTCAAAAGATGATTGATCAACAGCACACTGTCTGTTCATTATGCAATAACAATGATCAATTTGTTTCATTTGAATGCTATGATACTGAAATGAAATTTTCCGTTTTTTTTCATTGTCTGCTTGCTGTACATTTTTTGTATTTCATTCTTTCAGGAATTGATGAGGCACGTAAGGCATACTGAGATTTTGCTGCTCACACTTCCTCAGAGTCCGAATAAGAAATATTGTCTGACATCTGAAACTTAGAAAGATGATTAGCGTTTTGGTTCG